TTGGTGGTTTAAACCCACAAGTCACTCCCTAGGAGAAAGGGGAGGCTCTCTGCTCCCATCGAGACTTTTCACAGGCAGTTCTACCCTGTCCTAGAGGGGCATTAAGAGTCGGAATCCACTCGATGAGAGAGGGCAGACATAATGCTCAGCATCGTATATGCACTGATCTTACTGAACCCACACAACCACCCTGTGAGGTGTCCTGGGACAACCTCCGCTTTACAGGAAAGAACATCTAAGCACACAGATGTTGCCCAAAGCCAGCTATTGGGCAAGCAGCAAAGTCGGGACTTGAGCTAGGCATTGGCTCCCAGCCCAAGCCCTCACCCCTTCTGCTCTGCTGACTCTCCTTCCTTACACAAATCGACTTGATGGCAGGGAGTCTGGTTTGGGGTTTGCTGCCAACCGGCTTTGTGTATCCGCATTATACCATCAGGGTTCTTTTCACGAGCCCATCCCTGGAAGCAACAGACTCAACTCTACCAGAGCATGGCACACCAGGCCTCATCTACTCAAACACTACGTCCTTGGGGAAGTCTTTCAAAATCCTCCTGTCTGGGCTAGAGGGCCCTATCTTCTCATGTTTCTCCATACGACAATCACCACCACCATTACCACCACCACCATCATCATCTACGCTAACAGAAAACAAAGAATGAATTCTTATTATGAGCCAGGTTTTGTTCCCAAGTCTTCAGTCATTCAATGCAGCAACCCTATAAAGCAAGTAGGATTACTCCCTGTAGTTTATAGATGACGGCCCCGAGGGTCACAGGAATGAGCAACTAACCGGCCTTACTATGTGACAGGGCCAGGCAGCCTGGCTCCTGGCTCCACATTTGTCACCATGTGTTCTATGGCTCGACACTGGTGAGCCTTTGAATCTTGCCCATGTTCACAGATGGTAAGTGGATTCAAGCCCATGTCGTTGCACATTAGCTACGAGGTCTTAAAAAAGGTAACCCTTTCTGGATGCCTTCTGTCTCTAGGTCAATACATTCATCGTGGTCTGGAAAGCGACCTACCTGTAAACACCAGGCTGGCGTTTTCTAGTTCTTCTTGGGGAACCTTGAAGCTAAAAGATTCGTTGTAGAAAGGATCGATCGTGCCTTTTAAGAAGGATGTCTTCTTGGTTTTCACAAGCTTGAGTCCATGCACCAGCTGGATTTTCACAAAGGGATCTGAGGGTCAGACCGGCATCAGAATGTTAGAGCTATTCCCCAGCAATCCCATCCCTCCGTGCCTTCTCCTATACAGCCCCTCACCATTCCGTGCATCCTCACTCACTGAGCACCTAGGAGCCCAAACTTTTTTTGCCTACTGCTGTTTTCAGAAAGAAAAAAAAAATTACTTAACACATCCCTAGCCATTACACACTTTTGTACTATCCCCATTATCCAGGCTAACGTCTAAGTATCTTCTTTTACAGCTTCCCCCCTCCCCCCGGCCCCTGGTCATTCCAGAGCCCCCCAGGAAACTTTGGAAAACAATGATCTAGCAGTCCACCCATCCACCATCCTTTTGGCTTCACCTTCTTGTATCCATCCATCTATCCAGTAAACTGATGGTCCAACTACCCATCTTTGCTTTCTTCCATTTTCCCCTCTGCCCATCTGTCCATGGATCCACTACTGCTTTCTTCCACCAACCACTCATTCATCCTTTCCTCCAATCTATCACTTATCTGCTTGTCCCTTCCTCTTTCCCCCAGCCCTTCATTAGTTTTTCAGCTCCTCCCACATACAGGTATTATGTTCATGTTATAGATGAGAAGGGAGGAAACAAAATGAGAAGCGATTTGCTTAAGATCTGCTCGGTGAAGGCAGAGTTTTCTGCCCGTGGCCTTTATGCCCCAGGGAGTTAGTTCATAGCTCATACACAGAAACGTTTCTCACTGCCATTGCACTAATTCTGACTCCCAGTGACTCTATAGGACAGGGTAGTGTCTGAGACTGTAACGTTCCACTGGAGTAGAAAGGCTCCTCTTTCTCCCACAGAGCAGCTGGTGGTTTCAAACTGCTGATCTTGTGATTAGCAGCCCAACTCGTAACCCACTAGGTCACCAGGGCTCATCACAAAGGAAAAGAGAGATGAACAACTTATAACTATCATTCGCTTAAACGTTTTTTTGTGTGTCTTAGTTGAAAGTTTACATACCAAATTAGGTTCCCAGTTATTGTAGGTTACTTTATAGTTCACTGCAGGACCCAGGTACATTATCTAATTTAATACGCATGTAAACAAGCCAAGGTGAACACTGTTATCCATTTTCCAGATGGAGAAATGAAGGCTGAGAATGGTTAACTTTCCCAAGGCCACATCGTTTGCCATGAGGACTGTGACATAGTGTAGCCAGTCTGCCTCTAGAGGCCTCCGTCGTGGGATTATCCTGCCTCTCCCATCACGGTGGGTCTGACACTCTCAGCCTTAACGCCCTTCCCTCCACAGAACCTTTTAGAATCTCTGTTCTGACAATGTGGCTATTGGACATGCAAGGTGTCTTCTAAATTCAGTTATCACCTTATGACAGAAGGCTTTGGTTTTAGCCATTGCATGTTGGGAACACGATGTGCCACCAAAGGCCGGAAGATGTCCCAGGAACTGGGGCTGCTTTGATGACACAACCTCTGTCTGGTACGACAGAAGAAGCTACCCACAGGTGGGAATGGGATCTATTCCATTTCATTTCAGTTCACGAGACTTGGGTTAGTTACAAAGTTGGCCCTTTAAACACAATGATCTCTTCAAGGAGCCATAGGGGCGCTACGGGTTAGACACTGGCTCAATAACGACAAGGCTGGCGGTTCAAAGCTGCCCACTATCCCTAGGTAGACCGATGGAGCTGTCTGCTCCTGTAAAGATTTGCAGGCTCAGAAACCCTGTACCCAAACTCATTGCCCTTGAGTTTCCAATTCACAGAGACCCTATGGGACAGAGGAGAACTGCCCCTGTGGGTTTCTGAGTCTGTAACTCTTTACAGGAGTAGAAAGTCTCATCTTTCTCCTGAGGACTGACTGATGGTTTCGAACTGCTGACCTTGTGAGTGAGCAGCCCACACCAAACCCACAGTGCCACCAGGCCTCCTCAGAAACTCCAGGTAGGGTTGCTCTAAGTTGGAATGGATTCAGTGGCAGTGGGTTTGGTTTTCCAAGAGAGCTCAGAAGAGAGGCTCAGGGTGTACCCACCTCTCCAGCTAATTCAAATGCAAGATCACCGCTCCCTATCGCCTCTAGTCAGAAGAACCAGGAAGCTGCTTTGCTTGAGGCTGCATGGGTAGAAATGAGGCTCTCGATTTGCAGTAGTCATCACCCTTGATCCCAGTCTAGTCTCCGATCCAAACAGGCTTACCTGTTCCTCTCCAATGGAGCCCTGGCAGCATAGAGCATTACGTGTTGGGCTGAGGACCACAGTCATCAGTTAGAACCCAGGAGCTCGAAACCCCAAGGTCACCAGTTAGAAACCACCAGAGAAGTGAGGCTTTCTACTCGTGCAAAGATTTAAGTCTCAGAAACCCACAGGGGCAGTTTTACCCTATCTCACAGGGTTGCACTGAAACAACTCCACAGCAGTGAGTGGAGTTCATCTCAACAGGCATCTCTCTAATCAGTTCTGGATGTTACCCCCCCACCCCACCCCTCCAGGCCTTATCAATAGTATCTGGGATACAGGAAAAGAAAACTGGGCCCCGGGTGTCACAGTGGCTAAAGCATCCGGCTGCTCACCGGGAAGTCAGAAAGTCTGACCCTTCCAGCTGTTCCTGTGGAAACCCTATGGGGCAGTTCTTCTCTGTCCGATGGCCTCAGTAAGGGTCAGATTTGACTCCATGGCAGTGGTTGTCTGGGGCTCAGGGTTTGGTAAAGCCGTGGAGGAGGAGGGAAGATCCCACTGTACCTGAACCTTGGCTCACGTCGGTCTGAAGAAGCTGCTTGGCTCGAATGACGTCCACATTCAGCCTCCCGGCGCTGGGGAGATAATTCAGGGACAGAAGCAGCTCCCCCAACTCCACCTCGTTCTGCAGAGAGAGGAAGCAGGGCCAGGGAAGTCCTTGCAGGCCTTATCCACCCACCGCGAAGGGAATCGGCCGCAGCAGCCTGCACGTGGGTGTCTGGGAGCGGGGATGGGTGGGGTGGAATCAGTCGAAACAGGGTGCCTACTTCTTAGGCTTCTTTTAATCATTGTCCCCAGTTATTTTCTTCCCCCTACTTCAGAAAGGTCTTTCTGCTATTAAAATGCCCAATGAACCAAAGTAGGAATACTAGGAAATTAAGACAAGGTAGCTGCTGTCCTAGGTTGTACGTGCACTGATGGCTCCCATCTTTGAGGGAGTTACTTCTGCCTAATGGATTAGGGCTCAGAGGGGTTAAATAATTCTGTCCCGCAGGTAGAAGGGAGTAAAAGTTGGCCATTGAAACTCGGGGTCCAATTCCAGATGTTGTGGCCACCGTGTGATCCTGCCTTCCAGAAGGGTACCAGGGGGCCGAATACCCATGTGGGTGGAATGGCCCCTCTTCACCTGTAGCCCACAGCTGTGACCCGTTTCCAGCCTGACCATGCAACGCTTGGCCCGGTGACATCTCTTGTTATAGAACACCCATTTTCTCAATGTGAACCCCACCACATTTAAAACAACCTGATACGAGCAGCCAACTGTATGGGTCCATAGTTCCAAAAGATCTTAGATAATAAGAAGCCCCCTCCCACACTTCTCTATCCTTGAAAAAGTTTTATTGTAGGAAAAAAATTTTAAGTGTTGTAGAAAATTAATATACAAAACTAGACTGCTGTTAGGTGCCAGTCAGTCAGTGGCCCTGGGTACATGAGAAGAAAACACTGCCTGGTCCTGGACCGTTCTATTTACTGTTCTGTTTGGGCCAGTCTGTCAATCCACCTCATTGAGGGTCTTTGCACCGACAGACTAGCAATAAAAATCCCCATGCATCCAGCCATCCATTAGTTGCAACAATTACCGACATTTTGCCAAATGATGTGCGTTCCACACACTTCTTGTAGAATATTTTAGCCAAGTCTCAGACATTATGTCATTGCATCTGTACCTCCACGTCCTTCAGTGCATGTCTCTCGCTGATAAGGCACTTAAAACAAGCACATTCATTACGGGAAATTTCCAAACACACTCCAAAGGAGCCAAAAGGGTCGACGGAGCCTTCGGATACCCATGCTCACCCAGCTTCAACAATGACCAAGTGATGGGCCATCTTCTTCTTCTTGTGTAATAAAGAGGGTGACTTCAATAAGAAGCAGAAATCTTCTAAAGAAGAGAGACACAGAGCTCCTGGATCTCAGTACCTTCCATCATGCAGAAGTACGATGACAGTGACAAACAGAAATTTATTTTCTTTCACAGAGTAGGAAGCTGGAAGTCTAAACTTAGAGTTCCAGATCTAGAGGAAGGGTTCTGTGTCAGCTCTGGGGGAAGGGTCTTGCCTCCAGGTGACAGATGTGGGCCTGGCATTTCTTAGTGATCTCCATGTGTCTTGGCATTAATCTTCCCCTGGGTCTAGGAGGTTCTCCTCACAGGGACTCCAGGTTGCTCCCAGCTCTTTATTCTTGGTTGATACTGAGATCCCTCTTTTTGGGCTCACTTCTCTCTCCTTGTACCTCTTGTAAGATTAAAGGTGATGCAGGCCACACCCCAGGGAAACACCCCTTAACATTGGCTGTGATTTGAGTAAGGGTGTCATATCCCATCCTAATCTCTTGACCACTGATTAACTGGGTCAATCAGATCATAATATGGGGATGAGCACATCATTAAATAACTACCCAATCATTGAGAATCATGGTGCAGTCCAAGCTGATGCATTTGGGCCAGGAGGGGGGCGGGGATGAGAAGAATTCAATCCATCACAGAAGACCTGAGACTGCAGTAGAAACTGCACAGGTCACAGAGGTTCACTATGAGTTGAAATGGGCTCAACAGTAGTGGGTGGGGGTGGAATCAGACCAAACTGGAGTTGAATCCCGGCTGTGGAACTTCTTGGCTATCATGGATTAACGGTGTCCCCCTAAAATATGTCGGGTAAATCCTGACCTCTATAGCTCTGTAATTCCACTTGAGAATGGGTTGTCTTTATTATGTTAATGAGACAGAATTAGGTTTAGTGTAGGGTGTATCTTTTGATATAAGAAATATGAAAATAATAATAATTTATAAATTATCAAGGGTTCATATTTCTTAGGGGAGCAGGGAGGGGAGGGGAAAAATGAGGAGCTGATACCAAGGGCTCAAGTAGAAAGCTAATGTTTTGAGAATGATGAGGGCAACAAATGTACAAATGTGCTTGACGCAATGGACATTGTATGTAGGGATTGTGATAAGAGTTGTACGAGTCCCCAATAAAATGATTTAAAAAAAAGAAATACGAAAGCAGCAACAATCATCAGTGAGAGATGAAAACAGATGCCAGGCCATATGGAAATCTGCAAAGAAGCTGGAAATGAGCTGGAGACAGGACCCTCCCCAGAGTTAACAAGGGAGGGAACGTCTTCCCTACAGCCGGCACCCTGAATTCAAACTTCCAGCCTCCTGAATAAGATGTTGTTTCGTAAAGTCACATGCGTGTTGTGTTTCTGGTGTAGCAGCATCACCTAACCAAGACACAGCCGGCGCGCTATTGGCCAAGCACGCAGCTTCACAGAACTTGTTTCTCTGTGAGAGAGCCTTCTCCCTGACTTTGTCGGTGTGTGGTCTCTGCTTCACATATGCAGACAGTCCGCAGTGGGATTCTCTTCTCATGTTCAACCTTGATTCACCTGGACGCTCATGGTAGCACTAAAACCAAACAAACCAAATCCACTGCCACTGAGGCAATTCCAGCTCAAGGCAATCCTGCAGGGGGTTTCAAACTGCCAACCTTGTGGTTAGCAGCCTAACTTGTAGCCCACTCCACCACCGGGGCCCTTTCTCTGGTAGCTTTAGGTCCCAGGATTATTTTGAAGTAACGCCTAGGCATCGTATGATCTGTAATATTTCAGTATGTATCCTCCCTCTGACCCCGGATACAATCTATCGATCTATACATCTTTATATCCAGCCGTGACAATGGAGTGGAGGCCACATCTGACCTCCTCTGGCTTCGATGGGGAGGAGAACACTCCATCGCAACCCACGGCTGAGTGCTACAAGACAGGGGCCACTCACGCTTCCGTGCGCCAGCCTTCTTTCACCGTTCTTCCCACAATGCTCTGACTTTGCTGCTGGGCTCAGTAATTTGCTGCAATGGCCACGCAGCCCTCACAGATAATACTCACAAGTAACGGTCTTTATTAGGGAAGTTAACGAGCTACCACGGTCCGGGATCAGAAAAAATGAAGGACACGGTTGTGCAGCAATACCTCTCCTTAACCAACATCCAAGACTCTCTTTGGATCTCAGCTTTCCAGCCACGAGGTCCCTTGGCTTCTGCCCTCAGTGGTCTAGGAAGCCCGCCCGCCGCTCTGCCTCACGGTCTCAGTCTCGGAGTGTTCCTCACGGGATCTGTGCCGCAGCGTCTGGTCTCGATATGGCTCCTTTACTCTGTTCCCTGGTCTCTGTGCCACACACAGCCTTTGATGTCTCTGGTCTCAGCCTCCATCATCGCTTCACACAGAGAGGGATCTTGAACGTGCTTGGCTGGTGGCTCTTCTTCCTTGATGGTCCTGGAAGTTCCCTCTTGTTCCTGCTTCTGAGATAGCTCATTTTTATATTACTGAGTGAAATGAAAACTAACAAATCCCCTCTATTCGTGTGAACACCCATGATTGAGTAATGGGCCCCACCCAGTCACCTGCTGGGAGTCACAGAGACCTGAGTCGAAGAGCCACTTTACCACACCTCAGAACTCACCCCCTGCCATTAAGTCCATGGTGACTCATAGCGACCCCCGTGTGGGTTTCTGAGACTGTAACTATTTACGGGCGTACAAAGCCCAGTCTTTCTCCCTCGGAACTGGTTGTGGTTTCGAACTGCCGACCATGCAAATTACAGCCCAACACAACACCGCTCCACTACCAGGGCTCCACGCCAGTCACCTTCAATCTCTGTCTCTGTTTCAGTCATTTCAGCCAACGAAGGTCCAAGGACAGTTCTAGAACAATGTTTGATAGATTCTCACGAACACAACTGACTGGATCAACAATCAAATCAAAAGATTCTGGTATCAAGCGAGTTACTTCCTGATCAAGCAAATCACCCGCTCGCAGACCAGCACGGAGGCTGCAAACTGGTGGCTCACCTGTGCTTTGTTCAGCCCATGTCATATTTGGGGAACGTAATTAGTGGTAAACATTGAGGAGTCAAGCGGCTTCCGATTTTGACTCAGTGGAGTGGGTTGGGGTGGAATCAGACTTCTAGATGGGGCAAAAGAGGGGGGGAGCTGGCCACACTGGGCCTCCATTCCCACCTGGCAAACCTTTGGCTAAAGTGCGGCACGGCTTCCTTTCAGATGGAAGTCGCTTAGCTATCACGCTTCCCCCTCTTCATTTCCCCACTCCCACCGGCCTCCTTCAACACGTTCCAGTCCAGTGTCTGCAGCAGAGTTGGTACCAAAGCATAGGGACCCCACACGACAGAGCAGAACTCCGGATGCCGTCCTCTTGGTGTGGAGGGGCTGTGGTAGTGCAGCGGTGAAGCACCTGGCTAACCTGAAGGTTGATGACTCAAACCCTGCCAGCTGCCCCAGGGGAGAAAGCCCACTGTGGTAGTTACAAAATCTGTTGTCAATGTGAGAGGATTAAGAGCCAAGGGGTGGAGGTTAGCCTGTCAATCAGGTCGCAGCTTGATAACCTCATTTGGAGGTGCTAAGGGAGTGGTTCTCAACCTTCCTAATGCTGCGACCCTTTAATACAGTTCCTCATGTTGTAGTGACCACCCCAACCATAAAATTATTTTCATTGCTACTTTATAACTGTGATTTTGCTCCTGTTATGGATCGGGTGACCCCTGTGAAAGGGTCGTTCAAACCCCAAAGGGGTCATGACCCACAGGTTGAGAACCACTGTGCTAAGGAGATAAATGACTCGCTGGAGGTGGGACACACGCTTACTCCCTGCAAGACATTTCTGCAGACAAGACCCATGGAGCTATGCTAGAGCCCTGGAGCTGAAGGAGCCATGTAGAGATCCCTGCCAGCGCTGAGTTTCTTAAACTGCTGCTGGATCCACAAGACTTTCCACCCACTGGCCTGTGATCTTCCTGCATTCAGCGTCATTGCACGTGTTGCATGAATTTATAGATTGGTATCGGACATATGGGCTCAAATCAGACTTAAGGACCTGATCTGGACTGGGCTGGGATGTTTTCTCAAGATTCAATTGCTCTTGGCTATAAAGCTCTTTCTTATACACATAGGAGTGTCTATGAATTTGTTTCTCTCGCCTACCCGGACAAACACACCCATGATCTGCTCCCACAAAGATTGTCGCCTGGACAGCTCCATGGGCAGTCCTACCTGGATGGCACCTAAGGACAACGTCTTTTGTAAGGGGAGATCCCTAGGTCTTTCCCCCGCAGAGCTGCCAGGAGATTTAAACCACCAAGTGCTTCACTGCTGAGCACCTGGACATATGAGTTGGCCTATTTTTTTTTTTAAGACAGGATGGACAACTATGTCCTGAGTAAGAAAATAAAGAGGGGGGGTCAGCGTCCTTCCCATGACTGCCAGGAGGTCTCCCCCTCGCCTCTGAGGGCCCTGGAGGGGCACTGGCGGAGCTGCCCCCACAGACTCATCTGGCCTCAGAGACAAAGGCCAGAGAACGCTGCCTGTGCTTGCACCTCGTGCTCCTGCCCTTCAGTCCCCCCGGTGTATAAGCCACAGAGCTACTCCCATCTTTACAAGGTTTAATTTTCTACTTGTTGTTGTTGAGAATACATACAGCAAAGCATACACTAAACCAAGAGTTTCTCCAGGTGCATCCAGTGACCCAGATGAGGTGTTCCACCTTTTCCGTGCTGCTCGTCCCCATGTAACATCAACTCAGTGCCCCTAAGCTTCCCATCTAAGCTTTCACAATGTTGTCAAAGAGCCCAGGGCCCTTCATCCCTCAACCTTCAGGTCTGGTCCTGACTCACTCCCTCATTAGAATCAACCATTTAAGATCCAACGGGCAGCATGTACCCAAGCGCAAAGCTCAGAGGGTGAGGGAAGGGAAAGAGGAACAGCAGGGAGGACGTGGGATTAAGAGATGGCACAGGGAAGGGATCGCAATGGATGGGCTGAGTCGGAATGTGCATGGACTGTGGACTATGATCTGCCCTGTAAACCTTTCCCTCATCCGCAACGAAAAGTTACAAACAAAACCCTGCAGCTCCAAGAG